TGCAAAAACAAATGTGATTTTGTATCTTCAATTGAGTTATTTTATTTATGTTTTTTTTTGATAACTAGCTACAATTGCCACAGGTAGAAAAACTTGTAATGCACTACATTAAAGTGCCATTTTTCAACTTTTATTTTGTTGCTTCTGTATTGCGGATCTACAAACAGATACTTCCTTTAACTTTAAACTTTCCTTGTGCACAACTTTTAACCTTGAAAGGTTGCAGCTACTAAATAAATATTGTATTTCAAATAAGTACAAAGTTTTAATTATAATAATTGTTTAAAAGTCCTGCATATAAAGACATTCGCACATTTTGTATGCGAAGCGCAGCTATGGAAACTGGAAACAATTACATACATATGTACACATCTTTTTCACAAATGTGTGCCAACCTGAAAAGTGCACATAACGTAACAACAACTAAACCAAAAACAAAGAACAAGTTTTTATAAAAAATATTGACTTTATAAATTTTTAGCTTTAAGACCTATTGCAATTTTTATGCGCAGCTGCTGAGCTGTATTTAATTTATTTTAAATAAAACAAAGTTTAAAAAAAAAAAAATAAATAAAATATTTTAAGCCTGAGTACATAATGATTGCGTTGTGACATTAACTATGCACCTGGATATTCTGCACTGGTCGGCATCAAATATAAAACTAACAGAATTTTTTTTTGCGTTCGTCAGCACAAGAGTGAATTCTTATGCAACCACTATTTCGTAAAAATTTCAAATTACATATGTAAATCTGCAAGTAAGTGTGAAGGGTGATTTTAAATAAAAAAAAAAATCGATAAAATTTTGTTTTTGAGCAGTTATAACTCCGTGATTTTATGAATTTATATGAATGAGTGTATCATATTTTAAGTCAAGATTTTATAGAATTTTTGCGATCTTCACAAAAAATTTTAATTTTTTCAAACTCTTTTATCGACCCCTAAACATTTCTTTAATATTTTGAAATATTTGAGGAAGTTCTTATTTTGTAAATAGAGCAAAATAGATGGGTGCTTGATACAAAATTTAGATGCTAACATTTTAAAGACCACCCCAATGCACATTTATATACAGCATATAAGTGCACAAATATAAATATGCATGAATAGTATTTTTCGAGTTTTGAGTACTCACACCCGTAGAAGCCAATTTTTTTTTTCTGAAGTTTTTATACATTCAAAATTTTGTTGTTATCTTAATAATAAATTTAATTTTATTTGAGAATTGCTTTCACATGAACTCGCTAATTTCGCAACTGACATTAACTGACAAATAAGATCATTAACTTTTTTCCCATGGTTTGTTGCTGCTTTTCGTTGCCAATTTCGTTAGCAAATATGTACGTTCTTGTTGTTTTTGCACTGTCATCAGCATCAGCAAGTCTGGGCTTGCACATGTGATTATTGTTAGTAATGACATATGTATTCGTTTTTGTTATTGTTGCCCATTGTATTCCATATTCAAGTAGACATGTATATTCAAGTATATATATACATATATATGTATGCACTCGTACGCTAATAATGCCGGGGCTACCTGTTGCGTTTTTGTTTTTTTGAGGAAAATCTGACTGAGTTGTGCTAATTTACATGCAATTTGCATTCGTTGTTGTTGCTTGTGAATGTCGGTTTCAATTGGAAGTCATTGTTTGTTGTTGTTTTGTTTGCGCTGCGCGTGCAATCCATTATTGCGTTTTATTTTTGTTGACGAAATGAAAAAACAAAAACACAAAACAAAATACATACATATATCTTTTCTTAAAAATGTACTATATTTAGCCGATATTCCCAATATTTACTTAGTAGGTACCATTGTAGGTCTCTGTAAACCGGTATTCATATACGAGCATGTATGTATGTAAGAACATTCGTAAAAAATTAGAGATTTATAATTTTAGATTGAGTGATTGCTCCTGCCTGTGGTGCGCGTGGGAAATCCGCCAATCTAACTCAAACCACCGTTATAGATTTCGTCAGGGGAAGCAAACTGCTAGAAACTTTGAAACAGGGTTCCGTTAGAAAGTTAAGAAACTCATTTTTAGAACCTGAAAAAAATCATAAAAAAAGGCAAAATAAAATACCTAATTAGGCACGAAAACGCATTAAAAATCGCAAAACAAGTCAAGAAAAAATACACAAAAAACTATAACGGTTAAAAATGCTAACAAAAATTAACGAAAAAATATTAAATTTGGCGAAAAAATAAAGAATATTTATGATTGAAAAAAGTCCGAAAAACGAGTAATTTCACGCGAAAAATTCAAATTCAAAATTACGATAGTTTTTGAACGAAAAAATCTAAATTCAATAATTATTCTTGACCGAAAAAGTAAAAAATAACTACGATTTTGCGATGATCTAGAAATAAAAATCTTGATATTTAACTGTTATTTTCTTGGTCCCTCAACTAGAGCTACAAGATAATCAAGTTTGTTATTATAAATGATTTGATTTGAGCATTTTCTTCGTTCGTTCGATTTAACTCATAAAACATTGCTCTCTAAAGTAGTAGTAACATTGAAGAGCGAGACCGCAACGGTTAAGATCTTTATAATAAATATCATAGTTTAACCACTAAAATGGGATTAGTTTTTTTTTCGATGAGATTTAGCCTATCCTATGATTTTTTATTTTTTCGATCAAGAATAATCTTTATTTTTCGATTTTTAGTTTTTATATAAATTGTTGATCGACATTTTTTGCGATTATATTATAACCGTTATTGGTCTTTAATGGTTATTTTCGGCCCCTGATTGAACCACATGTGGCATCTTGAAACTTTCGGTCAGCATTTTCTTCTTCTTCATCGGCGCCGTAAACGCATTATCATTAGATTTTCGGTAAGAAAAGCCTTAAATTACTAAATGTTGACTTGACGCAAGCTGGTATAAGTTGAGCCCAATTAGGCATAAGTACGGAATACCTACAATTATTAAATTAGAAAACCTAAACCTATGTATGTATATAGGTATACCTTCCCAGTGGGAATTAGGAGCACGTAATAATACCTTATTAGCAACT